AGTCATCACTGAATTACCGGGTCAAGTGAGCAAAGGACCGAGGGGCATGTATAAAAGGAGACATGCCCACCGGTAAAGGGTATTCGCATTTATTATTCCTGCATATATACTGAAACATATCGAATCCTCACGCAAAACAGTGATTAAACCGTTACTGACTTGATCGTCGGAGTGCTAACTCCGGCCTCAGTCCCGGCTGTCTCTTTTACAGGTAACGGAAAGGTGGGAATATCCAGCCCAGCTGTTTTCTGACGGATCAATGGATATTTTCTTATTTACTGTGTTATTTTTTGTATAATCTATGCATATTTATTGATCATCTTTATTCTACGCCGTAACCACCCAAAAGAGACGTATAATAAGGGAGGGAGGGCGGGGAGTATAATTAATGCGCCAAATATAATATAGACAAGAAGCTTTAGTTGGGTGTACAAATGTTGCATGAAGAAAACGGATTTAATTGTGAAAATTGGAGCACAAATGAAATGTTAGCCATTATATTGTCCGAGGGCCTGCGTACAAATGCTTCCACGTGTACATTTTTCATGCTACTATGTTTCTCTTCTTCATTCAAATCGGAGAAAAAAGAAATTGGATCTTTGAATATCGGCACATTTCAGAGTCCTAACGTACCGAAGTATTATTAATAAATATAAATTAATTGATTTTTTTTTAAATTATTGTATATAATTAAAGAGAGGATGGTATGCAAAGTAACTAGTGTTAGTTATAAAATTAGTCGTAATTTTTAAGTATGTAAAAAATATTTTGAATAAAACAAGTCCTTGAAATTATTGTATTGTGTGTAAATTCAATTTTCATTAGAAGAGTTAGTAGAGTTAGGTATACTAAATATAATGCTATATTTATGGTGAAATACATTGAGTAGTATTTCATATTTGATTTACGGACAATAACTCGTATATATACATCTGGATGTGTGTAAAATATGTATCGATGTATCTTTAAGATATATTCTATAATATAGTTTATCGAGTGTAACGTATATAAAACAAATCATATGGTTAGTGTATACTCTCACTTATCAAAGTCGTTGTCTAAATTTTTCAGTAATAGGATCTGAATTTTTTCTTCTAAAATTCAGTAATTAAAAAAAAACAAAAAAAAACCCTGAATTTGCTAATAAATTTGATGTTAGTGAGACAAGAGACAGAATGTTAATTTGTTAAAGAACAGAAAAAAATCACAAAGAAAGGGACAAACATCCGGTTACGCAGTTTTCTAATTAGTAATAATTAATTAATCCTGGGAAATAAAAACAGGCACCAAAAACTAAGGAAACACATAATAAAACAGTGCAAATGTTTTGGTAGTATTAAGACATGATTAAGAGAATAATTAGGCTAACTTGTTTGGGACAAGCATAGCATATTACCCCTTCTAACACAGCAAAAAGATGCCATCGAATATACCCCATTTTATTTTTTCGTTAAATATACTTTTTGCTATAATAATATATCACATACTCTAATATTATATTTTTTTCTACATCATATTTTAGAATTGTTTTATTTATTTTTGGTGTAATTAGGAAACCAAATCTTATTCTGTGTATAATTATATACAGTGGCGGAGCCAAGTATAGAACCAAGGGGGCAAGCTCCCCTAACATTTCTCAAATCCTTTTTATTTTATGTAGATATATAATTGTATTTTTTTATAGTAGCATTAATGGCTCCTCTAGAAAATAATTAACGCATTCGGCCTCCCGAACATAGAATTCTGGCTCCACCACTGATTATATATGTCTCGTCTCGTCGGTAACAACAATACATTTCATCTAAACACATTATATTAAACAAATACATGTTGCAACATGCATCTACATTTAATTCAGTTAATTTACTCTTAAAGTCTATTGTTATTTTATCTTAATACACATAAAAAATAATAGCTCTACATATAATTTATATACTATTTTAATTTAAATATCTAATTATTTTGTCTTATTTTTATTTCAATGTACTTTTTGGAAAAGGAAAACAATCAAATCCCTAAATTTTAGCTCACCCTGATAGTAAAATACCGAGTGTCGATCTACAAGCGCACATGCCGTTGGAATAGTATGTTACATTATGAATTGAACGTAATTAAGCCACAACATTTACAATATTTCATTGCATTTTGAGTATATATATATATATATATATATATATAGTGAGTGGGGGTCGACCAACCACACAAAAATGTCCCATTTTATTACACAAATTAAGGTCGTCCGTGAGACATGCACGAGGACTCCAAGAAACACTACATTAGCTCAAATAAAAAAAACATCAACTTATATATATATATATATATATATATATATATATATATATATATATATATATATATATATATCAGATAAATTAAAATGCATCTGAATAATATCTTAACCGTACATTTGCCCACATAGATACAATATATATATATATATATACTCACTATATATACAGATATACATACAATTCACATTAAAACGTGTGTGTAATTCGATGTACTAAATCAATTAATCGCTCTCTCTGGCAGCATAATAGCAACATAATTAATGTATCTATACATATACACACACACACACACACATATATATATATATATATATATGTATAACCAATCACCCAAAACAGTAACCCCAGAAAATGGAAGATATATTTTATTTGAGGGTATTTTTAATAATTTTACTCTCGAATATTATTGTTCTTGTGGGTGCGCATAATATATGGGGGACGCCAAAGAAAATAGAGAATCTCTCTCTGACACAGGGAATAAAGGGCCCAAAATATGAGCTTTTGTTGGGCAGCATAAAAGCTCTCTCCAGCTCAAACATAATTGCTTCGGCAGAAACAATGCCTCTCTCACA